TGTACTTCCAAACTGACACCATGACAGAACGCCTCCAAGAACGCTGGTGAGATGATCCAGAAGTACCAGATTCTCTTCAACCGTACCCGTCAAGCCGTCATTACCGGAGAGTTGGTTGAGATTATCACTGGTGCCACTGCCTCCGAGGACATGTAAAGCGGGTTTTTTGGCCAAAAAAGCGCGCGCATCAGATAGAGATGATTATTGCCTCTCTTCCCTTTGTATCAAGCTACCAAGGGCGGCTAGTTTAGCCCTCAGTGTACCAAATCCTCGCGAATACATCCTGATCTAGAATATGGATCGGTTATTTTCATCTATCTTAAAACCAAGATCTGAAGCATCTGTGCCGTTTGATAAGCGTGTTGCCATTTATTGTTTAGCACACTCTTTTCAAGAGTGTCTTATGTACGGGAGCTACAGTAATTACTGTGCAGAACTTTTGAAAAGGTTGGTCTACTACAACCTTTTCAAGGTTCCAACGGGAGCAAATATGACATGTACGGAGGGGGTATGCAGAACTCCTCGACACCGTAAACGAGAAACAAAAACAGACTGCCACCACCACAGACAAGCCCCCCCGAATGCACCCTTCCTTGCCCTCCATGCAAACCCGTTTGTAAAAGAACAGCAAACGGCCTAACCCCTCAATCAATAGAAAACGAACACCTCATCATACCACCCGCGCGCCTCGTCAAGTAAAACAACCCCGTCAAAACTCCATCTCGCTGCCGTCACTTTCGGCGTAGCTGACATGCTTCGTCCTGCGGTACTTTTGCGCGTTAATCTCCCTCTGCCGCGCCGTAGCAGCGCTGTAACTATTTCCACCGCCGCCACCGCTTCCTCCTCCTCCGTTCTGCTGGGGCGGCACGTACGGGTGCTCCCGGTGATACGCGCTCATGGTCTCGACGTACTCTTTATCCCACCGCGCCGACGTCTCCTCGTACTGCTTTACGGCCTCGGCGTACGCCGTCTTCTGCGCGGCGGCCTCGTCCTCGAACGGCTTCTTCTCTTCTACCGAGGCGGCCCGCCACATCTTGGACGTCATGACGCGCACCTCGTTCGGCGCCGTCTTCTTCTTGTTGCCGTTGCCGCTGCTGGCCGCCGCCGCGCGCTCCTCCTCGCACCGCGTGCGCGCGACCTCGAAGAAGGCCCGGCTGTAGAGGAGGTAGGCGTTGGCGGCTACCTTGGCCGGGCGTGCGGGCCGTTCGCCGATTTTGGCTTTGGTGTGTTCCCAGGCGGAGAGCTCGTAGGCTTCCAGGCGGACTTGTTCCGGGTCCTTTGGTCCCTCCATTTCTTTACGCTTGTTGGACACGTTGTTTCCCTTCTTTCGGACGAGGGGTGTCGGGACCTCTATCGGGCCGAGCATCGACTCGAGAACCTCTGACGCGGCGCGGAGTCCCGAGAGGTAGGCTCCGTGGACAGTGGCCGGGTGGGTGCCGATTGTGTGTTCTCCAGCGAAGAAGAGGTTGCCGATGGGGCGCGACATGGCGTCGTAGTCGTCCGGGTGCATCTCCGGTCCGGCCGAGGAGTAGCTCCCTCTGGCGAACCTATCCGAGGCCCAGCGGGTGACCACCGACTCGGCGGGGTAGGGCACGCCGGGGCCGAAGACGCTGCGTAGGACCTCTGTCGCCTCGGCGATGAGGTCCTCGTTACTGCTGTGCTCCGTATCGAACCCGGCATCACCGGCCATCAGAGCCACGAGGCACGGTATGCCGGTGGTCTGCGTGACGTTGAACCACTGGAACAAGCGGCCTCGTGAAGAGCCGTAGTCGCTTTGGTTTAGGCTGTGGCGGTTCGGAGCATCTCGAAGAACGCCAAAGATGTGCCTTTGCGTATCCCAGAATGGTTGATCATAAACGAGTACAAGCTTGTTGAGCACTCCGTACCCTATACGAGTGACTGCTTCCGTCTTCCACTCGGGCAATGGCGGGTCGAACGCTACGTTGCCGTGTTTCAAGACTCCTAGAGGTATCGTTGAGACGACGTAGTCTGCGTCGATGGACGTCCCGTCCTCACACTGAATCGAGGCACGCCCGTTATTGTGTGGCTGGTACGTGATCTTCTTGACCGCGGATTTCGGGCGTACGTCGAGAGGAGTGGGACAGTGCATGAGGCCTCTGGGAACGCTTTGGTAGCCACCGACGATCATGGTGTGCTTGCCTTCCCACTCATTACCAGCGTCAATATCCCAGCCACCTAGACTGAGATTATGAAGATTTGTAGCGTTGCTGTATTCTAGATTCGCAACGTGCCAGTTGATGAGACGGTGATCTTGGGCAGTCAGGTCAACAATGTTGCGGTATTGGAGGACGGCTTCGTCCATGACCGAACCGAGCGTGGCCGCTGGCAGAGCAACAGCCTCGTTCAGATCGATATTGGCGTCGTTTGCCAAGCCGGTCTTCAACGTCCACCCCATTGCCTGGGCTTTCTCGGTTGCCCTGAGTACACCTGGTGTGCCAGGCTGAGTGTGGACGCGGCCAGTGAGCTTATCTGACGAGACCGGCACCAGGTTTACTCGTTCGGGGACATTTTGTTGCGAAACGGGCGGTGCATGTGGGAGAGCCGCCACCGCTTCCTCAGCTTGGTGAATTGTCCTGTGGCCGTCACTCACGGCGTCTCGCGCCTCGTCAATCAAGTCTCGATTGCCCTCGATAAGCTTGGCGGGCTGTGACTTGAACTTGTATTCGCTGACGCGATCTAAGCAGTCATTGTAGAGCCTCTCTACGAGCTGGTCCCTTGCAAAGTCCACCGGCTTGCCATTGGAATCGTAAATCGTCGTTTCCGATCTCAGGGCACGGTATGGGAGGCACAATTGCGCACGCACGAGAACGTTCATCGGGTTGCCGCGTTCGAAGCCAGTGATGATCATGCCGCCCATTTCGGCGGTGAACCGTTCCCCGTCAAAATCGGGCAGTGGTATTGTCGGTTTTGTTTTGAACTCCCTCGAGTAGACCCTTCCACCCACTCGCCCACGTCCTTCCAGTACCACAATTTCAGGCACCGGTTCTCCGAGCGCCCTGAAACGATCCTCATACTGCCGTATTAAGCCGTCCAAATGTCTGGCGCAGCCCAAGCCGGACATACCAGCACCGATGATCACAATCCTTTTCTTGTTAAGCGGGACTTCTGCCTCTACGTCTTCTTCTTCTTGTCGATCGTTCGTCGCTGGAAACTCTACACAGCCAAAGTTGATATACCCGCGTCGTAATAGCCAATCGTAACATATACTTGCGACGTCAACCCATCTGGCACCAGCGCAACCAACCGCTTCGTTCCTTGTCACTGCAACACGTGGGTTATTGTACCAGAGCCGGAGAATGCCGTTTCTGATATTCAGATACGTGGTGACTTGAACATGGCTGATGTGCTGTCGCAGCATCTGATATTCTTCCTGGTGCAGGGCATACGGGTTTAGTCTCGATGACTCGGCTGCTTCTATGCACTGCCTTGCATATTCATAACTTGATAAATTTGAGGGTATGGACGACTTCGGCTTCACGTTGAAGGTCTGTCGCAATGCCTCGCGTACCGGAGGGGTCTCTGCTGATGGTATAGACTCTTCCGTATGCCCGTCCAGTTCAACAGGGGTCGTTGCCTTACTAGACACCGACGGCGGGACCGATGAAAGCTCAGACTGTTCGTGATCAGATAAATTGGTCATCGGCGACTCGAAAGATTCGTGAGGGGTATCGTGTGACTGGATGCGGAGGGTCTCTAACGGAGCAGCCGCGTCCTCGGCTACTGGTGAACTGATCGATGGTCAGCTAAACTCGATCTCGAGTATCCCAGCATTCATCTGAGAAAGCCAGGACATAATGCTGAATAGATGCCGTAGGGTATCACCTACTCAGGTTCCGATAATAGGCCGGAAGGATGTTCCGCTTCATCCAGGCTTGAGTCATCTAGGTCCATGTCCATGTCTTCTGTCCACACGACGATTTCCGGTGCAATTTCTGAAACTGCTTCTGATGAGATTCGACTTGACGGCGTTGGTGTCGTCGATTCTGAAAAGTGTGAAGTCGATATCCGACTCAGCATCGCACTGGCCCTCGGAGGCGTGAAGTCTGATATATGTGAGGCCCGATCTGGAAAATCCATCAATGATCCCTTCCCAAACCCCGGTTCCTGCTTAACCCGAGACCTCGGACTGGATCTCATATTTCAGTCGTCGGCAGGGATTGGACTCGAGGATGAAAGATGGATATATACGTTGGTGCCGGCGGATGGTCGGTGATGATGAAATCTGCTCAGTCTGAGTCCCGACCAGGGTGTTATATGGCGGGTCTAGTCCCAAGTCGATAACATGTTACGATATCTCAGGTGGACCTGGATAGTCTCGCTGTATGAGCCTGGTCAGCTGATTTAAGTTCTCAGGCTCGCAGGACTTGATATAAGACGAAGCAATTGCAATGTACCTACCTTTTGACTGCGGAGACGCCACTTGCCCCGGCTGCAGGGCACTGTCCCGTGTTCGGTGCTTGATTGAGCCGTCCCGATGCAGGTCAAGTCGCGGTATACCGAAAAGGCACCAGGTGAGTCGCAAACAACTCAGTCTATTGTTTGAGACAAGTATGTTGAGAAATCAAAAGTAACCCGGTCATAAAGGGAAGTCGTCAGATACATGACCCGTTGAAATCGCTAGGTTCGGCATTGGACATGAGGAGCTCCAGCGTTCGAGACAAAAAGGCGGGTCACGTGATGGCCTTTGCTCCCGTCAGTCGCAAGCCACCCGACCCGATACAGTGCTATACGGGCTGACTGCAGGCCCGAGCCAAAACCGGCAACACCACTGAAGTTCAGGAAGGCACTGACTCGAGGGGCCAAACTGCCGGCTAGCAACACCCAATATTTACGACGAGCAATGATGGTCGCTTCTAGTTGGAAAACACTTCTCCACGAGAAGCTCATTATCTGTATGTTGGTCGTATCTTCAAATGCCGGATACGGCGTTCCTGTCTCTCAGCTCTACCAGTCTTCCACCATAGACCCCGCGCCCTTTCTCATGCTATTGGGCTCACCGGCTTGACGTTATCTCTTGCAAAAGAATCCTTCTCAATTGCCGCATCCATCATCCGGTCTCCGCTAATGATCGATGTTGTGCAGATGACGATGTTTCTCCGAGCTACGAATGACATTGATTAGTTTGGCAATGCTTCACGAGATGAGTTCAATATGGGCAAATACCTTCTTCCTGCTTTGCAATGAACCGCAAAGCAGCGATTTCGGTGAATGTTATGCCTCCGACGAACACCACAAATACCGTTTGCTTCTCCGTGCCTCCCGAAAGCAACGCTCGAGCCTTGACGGCCTTCTCCTCACCCTTTTGCAGCTCGTAGAATGTCTGCCCACGGACGTGCTTTACGGCCTCGTCGAAGCCGTGCCAGCCCTGTGCCGCGGACGCTCCTGTCGCACCACTTACGCCATTGCCTCTGGTGACCTTGAGCAGATACTGCTTTTGCAGCACACATTGCACAAGACGGATTGACAGTGGCGCATACCCGCTGTACACATAGGCGATATCGTTTGGATCGTCTTCCTGAACTTCATCGACGATGAGACGCAGAAGTTTGCGGAGATACGTATAGTTCGTCTTTGTCCCTGTTGTGTTACCACCAGAGCCAGTCATCGGGATCATTTCTGCCAATGGAGAAGAGCGGGACAAGAACAATTGAAGCTTCTCGAGGTTATTCAGGGTGAGGATGTGCTGATAGCCGTAGCCCTCGAGGATAAGTCGTCGGAACTGGTCGAATTCCTTTGGTTTGATGCCGCCTGATATGCATGAGTAGATGCAAAGCAGCCTCAGCACTTCCGGTAACGGTGTGTCGCGGGCGATTAATTCCTCGATGGCTTCGAATTGGGAGGAAGGGTCCGCGCCAGCAGCTAGGTTCTGCTGAGCTTCCAAGAGACCCTTGAACTGGTCTGTCCGTGTGTACTTCATGACCTCCTCTGCCAGACCCGTATGTATGCGCAGGCTTTGCTGCTCCGCTTGATATCCGGGCAGCTTACTGACAAAGTCCTTGAGCTCAGCGATGGATTTGTGGCTGTTTCGTCCTTCGTAGTCCTTCTGCAAATTCTGAAGTCGGCGAGCGACTTTGTTCAGCAAGCTACCGACAATGGCGAAATTTGTGTCGCGAAGTTGTTCGTATAATTTATCAGAGGAATCCAGCTGGATTTTGCGTTTCCTGGCTTGCGCGCTTGTCGCTGAGGATTGAGAAGGGGCACCGACAACTGTCGTATCAACTTCGGCTTGGTTGTTCTGGATGCCGAATACTTCGTCGATGAGCCCCTCGTAGGTCAGTTGAGTTAACAGAGGAGTGACAAAATCCACTTCGCGGTCGATTATTATGACACTTTCGGTAAGTGTGCTTGGTGTCAAGCCACCTCGATTCGTCTCGTTCGCATCCTCGCCCGCAAGTATCTCTTGTCGCATTCGTGCTAGGAGCTCCGCAACTCGTTTTGCGTTGTCGCCTTTGCCGATGATCCGAGGAAACAAGCCGTGATTCTGTTGGATCTCCATCAATGCCTTGGCGAGCAGGAAGGACGGTGTGACGTCTTTCGAGAGATACAGGTCGCGGAAAGATTGATCCAACTCGAGGGAGAGAAGATCCTTCTCAAGGGGAAAGAAGTATAAAGGCAGTTCAGAGATGTTCACGTCGCCCAAGACGCCGGCCTCCTCGAGCAACTTGTCAGAGACGAGTGTTCGTCGAGGCACCCAGAAGATGTGGAATTCATGGCCTGTTTGGCTCTCTCGCTGTAAGCGACGGATCTGCTCTGAGAGGTTGTTAGCATGAAGTGCGGCTTACACAGTAGCATGGATACCGGCTGTAAGAAGCCGCGCCACTAAGCACTGTCTTTCTCGGCAGACCACGGATGATGATCGCTCGAGTAAGCCTAAGACGCCTCGTAGACATCCGATTGGGAGTGGAGGAGAATGTGAGATCCGGATAGTGAAGGGTGCTGACCTGCTATGGCTGACGCATGGCGAGCGCACTCGCCACGAGCTATGAAGATGACATTCCGCTGGCTGGTGTCGGCGTTCTTGTTCTCGAGGAAGAAGAACTTGTCTACGCCGTATTCCTGGAGAGTAGCGACCTTGACGATGGTACTGATAGGGCCCGCCAAGCTGCGCTCAAGAATGAGGTTCTTCTTCCCGCGGACCTGGAAACGCCGAGGTTAGCTCACGAAGAACAGGCAGCCGGGGCGAAATGCCTTACTTACAGCCTCGAGCAGGTAGAGGAGGTCCTTGCGCGCTTTGTCCTTTATCTGGTCCGTATTGAAGCCAGCTCGAGGAGCCATTTTCAGTTCTCCATACAACTGACACCGAGTGTTGTTTCGTGGAGCGCAGATTGACCGCTGCTGGGCGAGGTGACGTGGTCGGGGTAAGGTCAGGTAGGTAGATGGAACGGTGACGGAGAGCTGTGGTCGCAAAGCACCAGAGGTCTGGAGCTATCGGGTTGAAAGATTAGATTGGCTAGGTAGGTACAGCACGGGACATATTGCACAGAGAGCATTTGCGTCAGCGGGGCCAAGCCACCAGGGTGATCTAGGTAGGTACTACCTCACAGTACAGGTGCTCTCTCGGGGAATTCCATGCCGGATCAGTGGGGGCCAGTCACTGTGCTCGGCCCACTATCCATTCCGTCAGGTCGATGAATGTCTCAACCTGGAAATGTTTCTAGTTGCGAGAAACACTGCTTCGCGATCGCTGGTCGCGACGATTTGTTCTGCAGACTTGCAGCATGAAAGCTCTGGAATATGATCTACTTGCTTACATGATGCGCAGTAGAGGTCACCTAGGATGTATACCTTACTTGGCCAAAAAGTATGGTCCGCGGATCCTACCAAACATCAACATGGGTGTCAATACCGTCCTCTACGGGGATGCGATCCCGCTCGTGACACAATTTTCCTGATCGATCTCTTCGAGATATCGCTCCATGAAAGCTGACGAGGGCCATAACCGCCTTGGTCACCTCATCTTCTCCCCCTAAGCCGAGCATCAACTCCTGAATACTCTGCTTGTCCTGAGGTTTCCCTTCTGTATGCCGAAATCCGATACAACGCCATACCCAACCCTGCCGCGCAAATGTCTTGTGTTATTCAAACGGTGTTATCGTGATAGTAGAAGTCAATATCTCTAGGGCGCAAGCGATTGCTCCGAACGAACTCGTCATCTCCCGCCGGCCGCTCGTTCTTTTCGTTGCCTGTTAGCATGCTCTGTATACTCATGCAGACGCTCTCGACGTTCTGTACGGGACTCCAGCCTTGGCTACCGAGCAAATCGAGACAGATGATGCCATTCGAGTAGATATGAGGGTGCATGGGAATTGGTCGCTCGGTGGTCTTGACGAAGGTGACCTCTGGGGGTTCTGTAGACCAGATCATGTTACTTGGGGAGGTACTGAGGAGCTGGTATGTGCAGAGAGACATACCTATGGGATATTGTTGGGAGAACTTGAATTTTAGCCTGTAAACCTGGTCTTTATACAGCGGGTTGTCGTCCAAGACTTTGATGTCCATGATCCATTCTTCGAAATTGTCGGCCGAAATGAGCTCGATACCCGGGGGCAGGCCAGAGTTGAGCTGTGAGAGTTAGGAAGATTCCTGAGGCGAGCGCGCGCAATGCGACAAGGTGCAAATGGATCGACCGCGGGACAGACAGGTTGAGGTAGCGAGGTGGGCGTGAGGCAACGAACCTTGGACAACTCTTTGGCCAGCCGCTTGGAAGCAAAGCTGGAAGCCATTTTGAAGGGCGATCGAGTGGGCTGGAGGAGGATGAGGCCCAGGCGAAAGTGGCTCGACGAAGGAGAATGGAGAAGTTGAGCGAAGGAGAAGATGTCAGTCGGCGGCTCGAGGGGCAGCCCAGGCAAGGCAGGCGGGTTGCGGCTTGCTGAGGGGCTTGTTGGTCGCTTGGAGGGGCTGCCCAGAGAGGAGGACCCCACGAATTGGTGGTTCCTGCCGAGAACAGCAACCAAAAGTGTCCAGGAATGTGGGAAGCAGCCGATGCGGGAGCCAAATCCCAGGGTCTGAAGCTGGGGGTATAAAAAGAAAGCCGGATGCAAATCAGAAAGAACGGCAAAGCAGATACGCGCCCAACAATGAGAATGAACGAGGCAAGTGTGCAGCAACGTCAGTTGTTTGGTTGGTTTAACAATGTTGAGACACGCGGGCGTGTTGGAGATGGTCCACGAGTTACAGGCGTGGACGGTGGCACTTGGCTCTTTACGTAGCACGTAGTACGTAGCAATGAAGTACCTGTGTACTCCGCAAGGTACTGCGTACGCAGATTAAAGTACTGGAAAGCTGGAACACCTTACCTAAGACTTTCAAGGTCCAAATGACGCCGCGGGGGAGGATTGGCGGCGGCTCAATGCATCTTGGACCGATGCGAATGCGCGTGCTGTAACCCGATGGCCCGGTGGATCCACTTTGCTCGATGCCAGTGACAACCCAAAAAGCATTGCATCTTTGAAGAGCAAAGAGCGGCCAGGGACAGCCTATCTACTGGTACCTTATTTTAGGTACCTTACCTCAGCTACATATTCGTTGTCTACCTTAAGGTAGGTAAGGTAGGTAGTCTTGTTCTCAATAGCCTCTCATAACTGGGTACCTATGCTGAACTCTTTGCCATCAATCTTTTTAGCCCTCAAGAATAAGGTAGGTATATGTATCAACATATAGACAGCAAGGCGCTGCAAAGATAGATGTGCATGTACTTCGGCCTAGACGTAGTCATATATCACGCGCCAATTCTAAGAATATGGCGGCAAAGTCTGCCAAATGTATGTGCTTCTAGAATGCCACAAATTTCTCTACCTTAGCCAGCAAACCTCCTTAATGCCTGAATCATTCCAGTGCTTGATGGCCGTCGTTTAATCACGCCAGAATCAAACACCCAACTTGTCATTGATGACGTCTGCTGGCGAAAACACTTCATGGACCAAGCGAGGAGGATACATGTAGATTATAGATCAGGCTTTGCTGAGCAACACTACAACTTTGATCTATGGATGTCTAGATATTGTCAGGAGGGAGCCATCGACACTGCAGCTGTCGACTAATCGGATACCATGCCCAGCATGCCTTGTCCACTTAAGGTCGAAGATAGGTATGGGATCATCTACCTCTGAAGATGCCGTTGCACGCAGATCGAATCGGAGGTTAAGCCTTACGACCCAGCAAACCCAATGAATTGGAGCCTGGAAGTAAGAGTCAATGCCTGTCACAGGCACACAAGGATGACAGGGCAGCCAGCAGATGGATGCAAGGTGGAAAGAGTGGCCTCCTCAGCCACACTTCGGCGGCTCCCTCATCCTCCGGTGTGTGCCTCCAGTGCCTCCACAGCTCCAGTCGTTTTGATCGTTCAGGATACGGCGGTCCACTTCAAGACGTCCAGGACCCTTGTCGGTCATCGTTAGTGCTCGTGGATGCCGTCGCTCAATCACGGCCATGTCCGTGCTCTCCCTCTTCTTCTGCGGCCTGCCCCTCATTTCTCTGCGGCTGAGCATCCTGTTCAATTCTTACCAGCCCACAAGGCTCACTCCAGCCTGCCATGACCCCTGAATCTTGTTCCCTGTGATGCCACAACCGCCCTTTTCGTTTTTCTGTGCACATGCTGGAGCTCTACAGCCTGAAGGTCAGGTTAGGTTGCCTCCAGGAGGTATGCTGTGTAGTGACTTTACCTTGGTACCTTTACCTGCTCTCTACAGATAGGCTTTACAGATAGACGCAGCACAAGAATATAAGTATTCGAGAGCCATTCACCCCCAGACCTGGGAACAAGAAGTACCTATTCTCATTCTACCAATAGTTACAAGGTGCTTGATCCCAAGAGTACCTCTTGCTTGTGAAGCTCACCTAGAAAAGTACTCTCTTACGCTCTTACTTCCCGCTTTACCCCACCTCCCCCTCAACCCAAGCACCAAGAGCTACCAGCACCCCGACTCGACCCCCCCTCCCGAATCCCGTCCAGTTTACCTGGGAAGTCTCCATCAGCAACCGCTGCTTCTCTGTCCTGTCCAGGGTCGAGCCTTCTTTCTGCTCGATTTTTCTACTCCCGACCTACGCCAGCCTCAAGCTCTCCCTCATAAACGTCGTCTGCACTCTCACCGCTAACGCCCGCCTCCTCTCGATCCCATCATCCCCAAGGCTGTGTCTGTCCGATCATTCCACACCCACGACTCTCGCTGCGACCGAGAACCCCTCCTGAAAAATGAGTTGTAAGTTCTTGGATCATACTGCTCTTCTGGGTTTTTGCCAGGCCGTTGTCCTGCTGTGCCGTGGTTGCGAACATGCTGCCTCGCGCAACACTTCTCCAGTCTTCCTGCTCCCAATCCACAAGCAATGCTGACCGCACGCTCGCCTATAGTCTCCAATATGCTCAGCAGGCTCCAGGGCCAACCCGAGAGCTACGATAAGAAGTACGAATGACTCCAGCCCAATATCTAGATACCATATCCTGACGTCCTCTCTACAGGGCTAAATATCGCTTCGGTCGCACTCTCGGAGCTGGAACTTACGGTATCGTCCGTGAGGCTGACGGTCCTACTGGCAAGTGCGCCGTCAAGATCATTCTCAAGAAGAATGTGAAGGGCAACGAGAGAATGGTCTACGACGAGCTGGACATGCTCCAGCGTCTGAAGCACCCCCACATTGTCAAGTTCGTTGACTGGTTTGAGTCGCGTGTGAGCAACCTTCCGCTACGAAGCCATGCCCGGACTGTCGAGGCTGACAATTATCGTATAGGACAAGTACTACATCGTCACTGAACTAGCTACTGGCGGAGAGCTGTTCGATCGTATTTGCGAGCAGGGCAAGTTCACGGAGAAGGATGCTTCGCAAACTATCAAGCAGGTTCTCGAAGCCGTCAACTACTTGCACCAGAACAACGTCGTACACAGAGGCAAGTTTTGCCATTATAACTTGGGTGCCCAACTCTTTCTAACTAGTAGACCAGACTTGAAGCCCGAGAACCTCCTGTACCTGACCAGAGATATGGAGTCCGATCTCGTCTTGGCCGATTTCGGTATCGCCAAGATGCTCGACCGCAAAGACGAAGTCCTCACAACGATGGCCGGTTCCTTCGGCTACGCAGCCCCTGAGGTCATGTTGAAGAAGGGCCATGGTAAGCCGGTAGATATGTGGTCCATGGGTGTCATCACATACACTCTGCTTTGCGGTTACTCTCCTTTCCGCTCGGAGAACCTCCAGGATCTTATCGATGAGTGCAGTAATGCTCAGGTCGTCTTCCACGAGCGTTACTGGAAGGATGTCAGCGATGATGCAAAGGACTTCATTTTGCATCTTCTGCAACCAGAGCCCGTCAAGCGCTGGTCGAGTGAGGTATGTACCAGACGTGCACCAATGTCGAGAAATAAGCACTGACAATAACAACAGGAAGCTCTCCACCACCCATGGCTCAGCGGAGAGAATGCCACCGACCACAACTTGCTGCCCGAGATCAAGGCTTACATGGCCAAGGCTCGTCTCCGCCGCGGTATCGAGATGGTCAAGCTTGCCAACAGAATCGAGACGCTCAAGGCACAAGAAGAGGACACAGAGGATTCGGACTTCCCAGCCGACGCTATCAGCGCCGCAGACCAGTCCAAGCACGTTGGCGCACACGAGGTTGCCACTGGCGAGAAGCGCAGTCTTTCCAAGACGATCAAGGGCGCCATCTTCCGTGAGGTCGTCCTTGCCAAGGTCCGCGAGATGAAGCAGCAGCAGGACACGCTCAAGGTGAAGGAGGACGCGGAGAAGGAGCACAGAAGACGCAGCTTCCAGGGATGAGAATTGACGCACGTCTCTGTATGGTGACCTGGGCGAGTCAGTTAGGACTCAGGAAGATGATACCACACGGGTTGGATGATACAACGGGCCACTGGTCGCGGCTCAGCAGCGGTTTTGAAGTTTTTTAGTTCTTACTGCTTTTCGTTGAGCACCGATTTCGTTTCAAGCCGAAGATACATGGCTAGATGAGCGCTATATGTTTGTTGCTTTGCCTGAGCAGGCGGGGGGGACAGAAAAGCCGGGGACAGATATGACTTTGAGCAACACCCATCACTTCTTCCAGATTCGAACCTCTTCTTACGCATTAGCACTTGATCTTTGGTGAATCTTGCGTCCACGTCATACAATATCTGAATGCTTTGTGGAATGGTCATTCTTAGTCTTGAGCATGGAAGTCTCGGTTGCCAGCCTCTGGATTTCAGACTGGACTTTGGTCGAAGCAACGTATTCATACTCTACTACTTAGGTACACACAGGAAGTCCGTCTCCTTCAACACCGTTTCTGTCATCAGCACAGCAGGCGTCTTCCTAGGTCGGTTGGTCTGGACAAACTGGGCTGGATGGATGGAAGTGGTTCAAGGTCAACAACAATCAAATCACTGCCCATAACCTAATCGACGATAGACATTCTTTCCGAAATCCCCTGAATTCGATTCCTAGAATGGGCATGGAGAGATGTAGTCCTGCCCAATTGTGAACTCTTTATTGGGGGCAAGCAAGACCCTTTCGATACCAGTAGTCGTCCGAGGTAGCAAGTGTCAGTCAGACATGGCCATCATCAGGCTCGTGTACGTGTATCCTGCCCCTGACTGCATCTACCTTTCCTTAACCTCTCGGTCTTCAGGTTTTGTCTTTCATACGCAACTCTCGGTGGGGATGGCAACCCGGAAACAGGGAAAGATAGAGAGCGTTAGTAATCGGTCACGGCACATGAAAGACTTTGAACGAAGTACTTTGATATATATCAAGATGGAACTTTGCTATTCGGCATTGCTGCTACTTGAAGTCGGGGAGAAGGGGGGTTGAGTCCGTGATAGACTCCCCCGCTGGTCCTTGAACCCATGTGCTCTCTACTAATACTACTACTACTACTAATTGTTTTGTTTTGGGTTCGTAACGAGTCGTTGTTGTGCTTGTACAAGGTATATCGAGAGAGAAATTTGAAAAAACAGAGACCACCAATCAAGTGCGCCGCCCTGCCCTGAGATGCTGCCGAACGGTGGGTGACAAACTCCGCTAGATGCTTTTTATTTCGCCGTGGAATAAATGGACAATATTGCTTCAAATCATGGTACAGTATAAGAAAGAAAGACCGGAGGTCGGTGGTATCATTGTAGACTGGAAACGGGTGGAGAAAAGTGCGAGATACGAGGAAACGAGTGTTCGATCATCTGGAAGTAACGGTTCATTCCAACTCGGCGAGAACGCTCTCGCGAAGCGCCTCGTAACGGCCGATATCGAAGCGACGTCTTTGCCAGTTGTTCTGACGCAGACGCTCAATACGGGCCTTGATGTCAAGATTACGCAACTCATCGCTGAGCTCTGGAGTCGCTGCCCTGGCGGGGAGAGAGTGGCGTCCCGTATCGCTTTGCCGGGGTGCCGCGAGCTGCTCTTCGACGTTGGAAATGTGAACTGCGATCTGCGATCGTAGGCTGGAGAGCAAGCCGCAGTAGCGGTGGATGGAGCGTTCTTGAAGGAAGTCGAAGGCATCGCAGTCCTCGTTCAGGGGCTCGGGCGTTGCTGCCTTCGCAACCTCCTCCGCGGGCTCATCGGCAGGCTCAGGCTCCTCTTGGAGAACTGGGAGGTAGCGCGGGGGTTCGGGCTGTGGTGGGGCACAGAGAAAGTCGTCAAAGCCGAGAGTGGGAGAGTCGGGGCGGATGAACGGCTCTTCAGGAACGTCACAGAAGGTGACGCGCTTCTTTGGTGGGGGTTGGGTCGCGGAGAGCTTGTTCACGGCGTCCTCGACGGAGCACACGGACGGCGTGGGTGACGAGAAAGCGGTTGAGTTGGTCCACGTCCGCGAGGATGAAGTAGAGCTCGAAGGCGAATGCATACTTGAGGTCGCCGCTGAGGATGGGCGTGATGAGCGAGCCATGGTCTCATCCGCCGCCTTGCTCAGTTCCGAGGCTCGAGTGTAATGTTCACGAGCTTGTTGGAGAAGCCGTGTCCGATACGGCGAGGCGCATTGCAAAGGCCGGGAGAGCATGTCAAAAGAGCTGGCAGCGTAGAAGTGAAGATAGATGAGATAAGCCGGCTCAACGTTTGCCTGTTGACTCGGTCAGTACAATCCTAAGCTACTTCAGATGAATGCGACTTACAGATTCCTTAATGTTGTCTAGGATCTCGCAACAACGCAAGGAGCACGGTCGGTACTTGCGGTTAATGTACTGACGCTTGACCTCAGAGACTGCCTTGCTCCATTCAGCAGATGTATAAGGCAGAACGGGGAGCGGTGCCGGCTGCGATGCAGACCGCTTGTGCACTCGAGCCTTAGGAGGTCCGACTGAACTGGTGGCCATGGTTGGTGACGTTGCCGCAGGCTGTGGTGTTGTGATGGGGGCGCTGGGCGACGGTGCTCTGTTGATAGGAAAAATAACGCTGCCACGGGAGCCGGCGGCAGCGGGCTTAAGGAGGAGAGGTATTAAACCGCCCATTGTGATAGATTTAGAGTGCTTGCGCGTGTGAAGAGAGTTCGCGATACTAGGTTGGCTGAGTGATGGACGACGACTAACTCAGCTCGCCACCTTTTCGTCCGATATGAGACCAATGGCTACTCGGGAAGTCGATAGTGCGGGTTGAGGTCCAAGGGCCAATAGCAAGCCGGCGCGTTGTTGAACCAGACGATAGTGTTTGTTGGTGACACTTATGACTTATGCTGAAATCGAAGTATCAAGGCAGATGCAAAGTTGGCTCAGGAAAGACGAGAGCGACAAACGAGGGCTGAAGAAGGCCAGACGTGTTCGATAAAGCACGAGGCAACGATTCGGGTGTAAGTGGGTTACCCCGAAATGCGTAACGGGCGTTGTACCGGGACTCGGGAACAGTCTCAAGTCGTCTGAACTTTCGTGCAGGTCGCGTGCAGGTCGACGGTTGACCTTAGCACCCAGAATGATCTTCGTCCAGGGTTTGTGTCAGAAGCTGCGGCAGGAATGTTGGGCTTTTCAGACGTCTAGATGTTCCCACGGCTAGGTATTTGCTTGCGGGTGAACCTTTGGGTTTGCAAGGTTATTAGGACGAACTGGGAAACAATGACGTGCCCAGGTAACAATCGTCGAGGTGTTGTAGATCAAGGTTGTACTACGGATACGTAGTATAGGAAATGGTTCGATTTTTTCTCTCGTGATCTGTCGAAAACGGGGAAGCAAACTGTCTGAGGCTGGTGTTGAGATGAGCTGAAGGTCGAAGAGACAGGAACAGCGAAGCGCCAATCGAGTTGAAGACCAATAGTAAGGATTTGTATGTGGTGGCCAGGTAGTGAGGGTGGCGGCTGAATAGTCAAGACCGAGACAAGGTACACAAAGTGAGACCAGCGTAGGTATCTGAATTAATGACGAAGTGGCCACTGAAGGAGAGCTGGGAAAGCTCAAGTAGAAAGACGGCTTGAAGAAACTGTCAGTTGAGGCTGATGGTATTGAGTATGGACCAAGGCAGTGAGTGAGTGGGTGGGCAGCCGAGACGATGGGAGAAACACAGGAAGAAACGACGGAAGAGGCTGGGGATCGATCACAGGAAAGATTCTCGAAAACCAAAAACAGAGACCCTTTGGGCCTGGGGGGGATGGGCCGTGTTCAAGTACCTCATGGAGTCATGGATTGCATCCAGGGGAGGTGATTTCGGGACCCCTCAAGCAATCGAATTGGGGATCCGTACGGATACCGTCCACACAGTCTGGCAGAGCAGAGCTCGAGCACTTTTCGAGTTCGGTTTGGGGCCTGGGCAGGGTGTTTGCGCATCGACGTTGGACTAGGGAGAAAGGGGGAACAAGCTTCAGGCGTGAGTGGCCTGCGCAATGAGATTTTCTCGTCTCCTTCGAGGACCTGCATATCGAGCTCCATCTCGCTGTGGTGTGTTCCCCTGGCACCGGCATGGATTTTCCTGTCGACCCTTGCCTCTAACCCTGCTCGTCGTTGGTGCTGCCCATGGTGTTGAACCCACCCCCAATGCAAGTCTCTTGCGTACAAATGTAACTCTGCCCATAGTAGTTTGCGTACCTGGCTACGCGTTGTGCTGCGCAGCCGTGTACCTTGGGGCGGGATTTCAGCAAATCAAGAATGATTCTCTCGGCCCTCGCGTGGATACGCTATGAGCTGCGAGGCGTTGCTTGGTGCGTGGGATGGCTTGAGATGGCTTGGGTTGCTCGGGTAGAATTGTGAGAAACTCGCCCTGTGCAATCTGCAAGGTGCGAATAGTTCCCACCTCGCAGCAGCGCCCTAGTCCGTTAGCCCGTGGACCGGACACGCTAAGTATCCGTATGAGCCTACGAGAGAAAAGATTCAAGACGAAGACGGGGCGGTCGAAGCCATCGAAGTTTGTGGGACTTGTGCGTATGAAGCAGAAGTGCCCGTACCTGAAGCTATTAATTGCATCCCGAGAGCGCCGTAGCGTGTTCTACACGCGATAAGTAATTAGATGCGATTATGAAGCAGGGATGGGCTTCTGTCAATGTCAGGTCTGGGAATTGCGATGGGGGGAGACGGGCGATGCGCGGTCCCGTTGTGGATTGCACGGGATGGACGGAGATGATTCGCACGCCGGCCGACTATTAGATGTCATTTGCGAAGGGAGGTGATGCTGATTAAGACTCTAGACTCCGAGTCACGGCTCACGACACATTGGAGAAACGCCGTCTGTGTCTCGTCAGCAAGGAAGAGAGTTCGACACTTGAGTAGCAACGAACCGGAAGTCCAAACGTCAAGTTTGAAGGGAAGATTCTTGCACATAGCGCGGCTTCTTGACGACTGGCCAGCTGTTGGTGGAGCATGATGCAAGACGGTTGGAAGACACACGAAACCCTTGCTCGAAAGGGACGAGAAAAAGAAAAAGAAAGCAACCCGAGGAGAGTCGGCAGAAAAGCTCGCAATGCCTTTCTCTTTTCGTAGCGTATCGGGTATCCGTAGACTTGAAGCAGAAAATCAACGGCCGTCAAAATCGAATCCACCGTGGAATAACTCAATCAACCAACGGTTTAATTAGGCCGTGGACCTTCCAGACCTTCCAATTGCATTTGATTTCCAGTTTCCCGGTTGGCCGTCGATTCCACCGTGTTTGCTGCTGGAGTCTTGCTGGGGTTGGTTTGAGGCTTTGAGGGGTGACGAGATGAAGAGAGGGGAGCCTCATTGCCCTCACCCTGGGATCTGGGAATTGGGGTTTGGGAACATGTGCGGTCTGCCTCCTTCCATTGGAAAGTGGGAGTCGAGACGTACCTGCACAGCCAGGGACTTCCCGTCGTGCCTGCCTTCCTTTCCTGGGCGTGGTGGACTGGTGACTGGGCGACCTGCTGCCCTGCACCGGAAGCCACGAACCGACAACCGAACAGCGGGTCTTTCCCTCCCAAACCTGTCCGTACGAATACGTACCCGGTGTTGCAAGTCTCAAAGAGGGCAAGAGGCTCCCAAGATGCTCCACGGAAGGCACCATCCCCTGCCTCAGATCTCCATCGTCGTTCCCTTCCTTGGGTTGCTGTCATTTTCCACGCTTCTTTTCCCCCCTGCCTTCCCTGTCGCCAACCTCGTAACCTCCTCTCGCCTCTACGGCTTTTCATTGCACCTTATTGAACATCATGTCCACAAGCAACGCGATGTTTTGGCCCGCCCTGTTCTCAGGAACTCCTCTTCTTGTCCAGGTTCATGACAAGTGACAGCATCACACCCACTTCCACGTTCATAACGCGCAGGTGCGACCCTGCAACACTCTCCATGCCACCATGGGGCCTACGACTTTTGAACCGTTCCTTGGGAACCGTGGTCCAAGAACCTAGCTAGCCTACGATCTCCCTCTCCTACTCCTTGTGCACTTGGGCCTCCTTCACCTATTCGGGGCCGGCACTCGAGTAATGCAGAAAAGCATGCAATATGACACGCCAGCGAATGAATCTCCGCCGACATATACCGCAATATGCCCCCTGGGGCCCTGCCGCGGTCCGCCAGCAGCACCGCCCGTCAGTCCCAATAACGTGGTAACCTCAATATGCGGTGCTCCGTACGGATATCCACGTCAGGCACATGTGCCAGCGCCATGGTCACTTTCTCCAATTCATCATCGAGTGTCTTTCAGCGGGCAGAATATTCAAATGAGTAGTCAAGCTATCAGGTTGCCACCACTGCTTCTTATTTTTACGGTGGCCTTGATGTCCGTCCAGACCACAAGAACGGTGAACGAAAAGAACACAAGTGGCAGAAAACTTCTTCCACCGCCACCGGGACTTGGAGGGAAAAGCAAACACGAAGTGCCAACGCAGAGGAAGTGGACGATGCGGACGAGGAAAAGCAATACAATGGGTCAAACTTGCCGCATCAACCAAGCCCAAGCCCGTACGCGTGAGAGTAAAAAGGATACAAAATCGACAGAAACTATCCTCGGGTGTCTTGGCGCCTATAATCTCGCGTCGCCCTCCTCGACAAATCCGACGCGGTGCATACGATCCAGAGAGTTCGTGCTCGTCCTCGTAGTCGCGATTTCAGGGGCGAGCCAGACGCCAGAGAACGACGGTCGTTGTGCCTAGGAGCGAACTTGATCCCAAGGACGAGGCCTCAGCGCTGGCTCAAGGCTCACGGACTCGGAACCATCAAAAATTGGGACTGAAACGAAACATCTCCATCTCCCCCGCTCGCCTATGAGGTCCCCCCAATTCGTCTTCCCATCACCACCACGTTGTGGACATCCGCACAGATCTCCAAGGACTCCAGACGGCATGCACCTCCAATCCCTTATCACGGTTGCAACCGTGGTGCTGCTGCACAATAGACGTCCGTGCCTACACACTTCTGGTTCTCACCGCAAAATCAAACAGTAGTCTGATTCGCTCTTCCCAGTTTGAAGACTTGTCGAAGACAGGTTTTGTGTAGGTGTCGTTCGTTTGAAGCTGAATGCAATGCAACAAGCTGTGAGCATAACATAGGTGAGTAAGTCTCGTCGGTTAAGACTGACAAGTGCGACAGTCGCCACATGTTTGTTGTGATTGATACCCCAACAAGAATGACAACTCGCGGGATTACTATGGAACATAGAAACAGCCATGCACAACGGACAAGCACGAATTTCTTCCAAAGAAGCAAAATACCTTAAAAATTCAGACGAACGTTGTGCTGCACCTAGGCCCGGTCCCTCCTGCAGTAGCGGACGGAAACCACACCACAAGTGCCAGTTGCCAACCGTCAATCGACCGATTCGTGCAGCTTTCGATCCATTCTTCCGTTTGCAACAAATGCGCTCAACTTCTCAATGTCGGCGTTCCGCAAAGCTTTTCCCGGGTTCCTCTCTGACCCTGTCACCTCTGGACAGGCTCTGGTCAGAGGCCCTGTCAACTTTGACTCGAGCCCTGCTCGCCCTATCACGATGTCGGCGGGTTTGTGCGCCTTGAATTCCTTGAAACCCCCACCCGACTGCTTATCGTCGAGTCCAGGCTCCAGGGCCAGCGGTGAGGGGTAGGGGAACCTGCGCGCGGGTCGGCTTGAAGAGCAGAGAGACGGAAAGAGAAAGAGAATGGGACGTCTGCTTGGATGTGGTTACGCCTCATTTGAACGCGGGCAACTGCGAATGGCCTCAGTCTGTCGCGAGCGGTTCCTCTTCATGCCCTACCGACCCCGGATCATCTCTGTCTCTCTCTTGCGTCGCGATAGATACACTAGCCTTGGAAAGTACAGAGATCCGGGGTTGTCTGCCACCTGTCGATGATCGACGGAGCTATAAGGAGAGGTGTGCTCTACGACATCAGGCCATCTGAACCCTCGAGCTCTCGAGCTGATCAGACAGCGTACGAATAGCTGGGTAGACTAAAACTAGCCGACCCAAGTTCACGTACGAAGGACAAGTCCCTGCGCGCATTGAGTTTAGCACTAGATCCGCCGTGGTGCGACGGAACCAAGCTTTCTCTTGCGTGCGGCCGGGTGCCTGACAATCCCGCCGTTGCAACCCGCTAGGGGGCGTTCTGTTTTGAGCTTCCTTTGTGAAGTAACATGGTGGGAAAAAGAAGGTCATTGCTCTGACTACCTACTTGTGCTACTTACACTACTCCGTACTCGTCGTTTCTCTCTCTCCCCCTCCTCCCCCACGTGGTGGTTTTAGAAATGATCCACGCCAACCTGTAACGATAAACTCGATGGGGAAGGGGGTTTCTAAATTCTGACCGTGTCGATCTGGCTTGCTTCTATGCGCTACCTGATATAGGTGCGATCGCGGGATATCACTATGTAGGTACACTAGAATCGCTGGCCACAGACAAGTTATAACTTATGGTTTAGATAGTTTGACTTGTAAGACTGCTCGACCGTACTGCACGACCGTTATAGCTTAGAATCGACTGGAAGATCACAATTCGGACTTGGAGTAGTAGATAGGTACCTGAAGGTAATGAATGCAAATCATCGCCGACTAGGTAGTTAGACGGCCGTTTCTATTTTCGAATGCTTTTTTTGTGCTTCTGCTTCTAAAAATCTTGACACCACCTCACCATCATCTATGCGCTCGGTGCTGCGGGCTTGCTCTCCTCCGTAGCTTCCGTCGCCGCCGCCGCCGCCGCCTCCTCCGCGGGCTTCTCTCCTTCCGAGACAGCAGCGACAGGCGCCTCGGCAGCAGCACCAGCAGCAGGCGTCTCGACGACCGTCTCCTCCTTGGCCTTCTCCGTGGTGGACGTGGTGGACTTAATGTCCTCACCCTTCATACCGCCTACGACGCGCAGGCCCTCAGCGCGCGTAGCGAGGTTGTCCAGCTCGCGCTTCCGCGACAGGCGCTTCTGCACCTCGGGCACGAGCGACGCCATGTCGACGAGCTCGCCGTCCTTTTGGGGGTGGCCCTCGGGCAGGCCCAACTC